AAAATACATGATCTTAAGATTTTTTCTTTAACCAATTTAGTAGTGCTTTGCCATAGGTTCTTCACTTAATCTCTGAATTGCCAATGCAAATCTTTATCTGACTTCTTTTGAGCAGTCGCCACTGTTGTTCACTAAAGAGTCCAAGTATTCAAAATCTGTTACATTTACTATTTCTTCATTTTCAATTGTGATTGATATGTGGCTGTGCTGTATTTACTGAGGACATATATTTTTTTTTTTTCAACTTTCAGAAACAGAATACTTCTTCACTGTGTTTTTTGACGACCATAATTTTTCTAAACCTTGTACACTGTTGGAAAGAAGAACTGTGTCGTCTGTATATCTGAGTTCTGGAATAGGATAACCTCCAGTTTTTAGTAGATCAAAGTTCTCACATGTCTCCTTTGCTAATTAAATTTCTCATAATATTTTCAGCAAATAAGCATAACTTGAAATACAGTGCTCAGCCCAACCTAAATTTACAATGCAATTTTGAAATGATTTTCAGTAAAATTTGAAATGACTCTAAATTTTTAAAGCTAGTCATTCATACCAAACAATTATTGAGCAACTGTTTTGAAGGATGTATTTACAGTCTGCATAACCTGCTTGAGTTCCTCTAGTAGACCTGGAGGAGAGTCAGTGGATTTCTGTGCTTTTTGCCAGGGCTAGACAGTTCATCTTTTAAGTGTCCAAGTTGACTTTAACTTCTCGTTCTACAACAGTGGTTGTTGCAACTCCTTTTTTTTTAATCCAGCAGGTTTTTTTTAAAAAAAAGGTTTTCCTCATTTTGTTGCTGATGTCATCCATCTCCCAAGTGTATCTAAAGAGGTTTATGTTCGTGCTGAGTACCGACCTCGTTTTTACATAAAAATGACACACGGGTAGTTGTTGCTGCCATGGTCACCAAGGACGTAACAACTGCAGCACAGAGGAAGAGCAGAAGACAACAGTGTCAATCAAGTACACCTTCCCCATCCAATGGTAGTTGGGCCATCTTGGTTGTTCTGCCACCACTGAGACAGACTAGGTCTATGCCTACCATGGAATCCTCTAAGTCTCCACCTTGCTTACTTAGGCAGATGTTGCCATGCAAATGGAGCTTGGCACTGAAGTCCCTACAAACAAACACAATTTCTTTCAGTTCCTGAGGTTTCCTGAAGACACTTGTATTTCTAAGTGTTTAATTTAGAGTAGCATGCATAAACATTTACAAGCATGAATGGCCTGGCTGCATGCATCACAAAAACCTGTAGCTGGAGACAGTATCGACTTTATGTGTCTCAGTATTTTCTCTGACGAGGATAGCATGTTCCTAGTGTACTCTGTTGTAGAAGGTGTGAAACCTTGTGAGTCTCAGTATGTTATCAACAAGGCGTGTTTCATGCAAGGACGGCCATATCAATGCTGTATAATAGTTTTCCAGGCATTATGCGTCGTTGTTTGACTCTGGCACAGTTCTAGAAAAAGAATGCGGACATGCTTCTGAGCTATCTTATCCAACTTTATTTTAATTAAGCCATGTCCGTCCGGTGCATTTTCGTTTTCTCTTTGATTATTGTTGTGGCATGGTCTGTGTCATACACCTTTTTTTTCCATGTACATAATTGTTTAACGGCAGGGGAGCTAACGAGAAGGATCTCAACTTAATCACACAAACTCTGTGGCGAAAGCCAGAATTTTTGGACTCCTGTATTTGCACATGGCAGACAGTGTGTACCAAAGTCATTGTGGCATCCATGATGGCAGTGACGCTGCACTTCAGCAGTAAACACACCCAACACAAATATTTACACAGCGTATAACAGATATTGGCTGCCCTCAGTTATCCAGTGAAACATACAGTCATCATGTTTTTAACGAGTAACTGACGGGTTTTGAAATGGAGAAAAACCGGTAAAAATAAGAAACAACAAGGGCTCAAAACAACATCAACAACTCGACCACACTCCGCTATGTTGGAGAACCCAAGACTATAGTTAAGAGAAGATTATGTCAAATACTGCAATCAATATTGGACTTCTTATAACAGGCACGCCTTCTCAATTATATATATATATATATAAAACTTTGTAATAAACATAAACCTGAATGCTGACTGTTACAGATTGTCTCAAAGTGCTGGTCGAGGTCCCACTTCATAGAGGCTGAAAGCACAAAGCTTTAGATATATCTAAGGGTCGCTGACTGAAAAGACGAAGAATGGTGCAGAATGACGCAATCAAACATGCCTGCATTTTTTAAAACATATGTGAGGAGATGACTGGGTTGGAGTTGCCAAACAGCAACCAGACTTTTGTAGGTTCAAATCACATTTGATCAGAAATGAAGGGCTGCCCAGCAGACTCTGCTGAATCTAAAACTATACAGCTAATTTGTGATAATTTCCCTTTTGGTGAATTGATTATCAACACCTACTGATCTGTGTTGAGAGCAGAAGAAGTGCATGGGAATTTATAGAAACAAAAAAAGAGAATGGACGTCCTTAAGCTCAGCAAAGGCTGTTATATGGTGTCACAACATCTAGTTTGAGAATGTAGGTAGAGGCGGTCACTGTGGCCTCATGTTAGCTTATCAGCTGCATGCAAACACATGTTGTGATTGCAGACTTGGGAATTAAGATCGGCACAGCAAAAAAACGAGACGCACACCGGACACGTCAGAAGACTTGTTAATCAACATAGAACTGGTACTGTTAGCCATCGGACGATGGGGTTCATACTGAGGGGAGGGTCTGAGCACCTATGGACAATGAGTGCAATGATGATAACCTAACTAACTAACTAACTAACTAACTAACTAACTAACTAACTAACTAACTAACTAACTAACATGTTGTGATTTTAACTGACTCAGAAAACATTTGGAGAAAGGTCTGCTTAGTACTTACTGGGAAGCATCATTCACAGGTCTAGGACACTTAGAATCTTTTATGCTTCCCCCCGGATGTGCAAGTGTGTTAGGAAACGAACAGGCGGACTTGCCAGCTGGGTCCGCACCAACCAATGATAAACTGATGCATGGCAAGCTAAATGATTTTTCACGGCACATCTTTGCACACCAGATAATCCTTGTAAGTATCACCCCTAATACAATATGCTAGACTCGTTGACTTGTACCTGATAGCATGTCTCAAATAGGGGCCTACAGCTCCCAGCATCATTGGCGCACATCTCACCTCTGCCCCACCTCTCCCCCCACCCACCTCCCACCACTTTGTGCCTTAATGATGATGATGATGGTAGTGGTGGTGGTGTTGGTGATGATGATGCTTATGAATATGGTGGTGTTAGTGGTGATGATGATGCTTATGAATATGGTGGTGTTAGTGGTGGTACTGGTGATGATAATGATTTGGGCAGTGAAGATGATGCTGATGATTGTGGTGGTAGTGTTAGTGATGATGATGATTATGGTGGTGGTGTTGGTGATGATGATGATTAAGGTGGTGGTGTTAGTGATGATGATTACGATGAGGATTATACTCATACTTAAGACCATCACGTAAAAAGCATCAAAAAAAAAAAAAGGAGCTGACTCTTACCTATTATGATCCCAAAGTACTCCATAATTCCTCATTGTACACATCAATTCAGCACTAACTACCAGCTTCAGAAGAACCAGCTGGTGATCTCTTCTTGTCCCTCTATGTGAACTGACTGTTGACACTGAAAGCAGACAAAAGAAATATTTCAATTTTCTCGATGAGCCTGTATAATGCATTGTAAAGATGATGCAGACAATTTCCACATTTCCACTGCATGAAAGAGAAAGAATAAACAATCTTTATTTTAAAGGGTTACAAATTGGGCACACAGGTCTGTCTTACATTTGGCCCTTTCAAACACACTTCCAGTGTATTTGTACCAATAAAGCAGGCTATGTCCATGGAAACAAAATACATAATATGAGTGTATGGTAAAAACCACAAAGGTGTGGAGGCCAAATTTATACATTTAAAAACACATAAATGCATGCATACACATTTATGCTCATACAGACACACATTCATAATACACACCCACACACACACACACACACACACACACATACACATACTCATTCATACAAAAAAAAAACACTCATAAATACACACACACGCACATACACATACTCATTTATACACAAAAAAAAAACCACTCATAAATACACAAACACACAAACTCACTCACTTAAAATGTCAACCAGACACTCTAATAGAACACAGAGAGTACACAACTGTAACACTCAGTGACTCACTCACTGTTTGTTCTCCAAGCACTGTCAAGCAGAAAACAAGACTAATTGTATAAGATCTGAAGACCAGCAAAGGCTTGCTTTCCAAAGAAACAGAATTGGTCCTGCAGTAGATACCAGCTCACTGTGATATTCTGGGACATGAAAGAGCAGATAAACTGTGAGGAGTTTGGAGTTATCTTCCACAGCCTCATTCATGACAGAGATAAAGGGAAACCAGGACAATCATGAGGCAGGTTAACAAGGAGGGAGTAGAGAATGCTGAATGGAAACTACAGAACATAGAGTGATGGCATCAGGAATCTTACCAGGAAAGAAAAAAATCTGTCAGGGTTCAGTCTTAGTGTTTACACATGTAAACTAATCTGCCACTTGTAAATGAAGGCATACTCCTAGGCATGTACTAATAATTCCAATTAGAGATTGAAATGCATCTGCCAGATAAGCCAGAAACCAGCAGTCTGCATACAAATAAGTTAGATCTGTAAAACAGATGTGCATGCAAAACTTAAGTATTGGAACAAGACAAGTCCAGAAGAACTAAAACCATGAATTTTCTCCTGAGTTGACAGACAATGAACATAAAAAAGAAGAAGAAGAGTAGACAAGAGCAGAAGTATTAGAAATACGACAATTAACTTACAACTGTGACTTGATGGATACAGACTAGTTGATGCTGTGGTCTCTACAAGTGGATCTGTTTGTTTCAAATTGTCGCTGTCATCTGTATCTTCTGCCGTTAGACATTCGTCATTGCATTCCTGTTAAAACTGGTTGCCATTACCACCACAGCCTGTGTACACAAAGCGTGAACACAAGTTCCTCTCAGCACTGTAGTACCACATGATGTTATATCCTCTACAGTTTCCTTTGTTAGAACATTTGATGAATACATTAGGATAATGACAGCAAGTGTGTCTGTATTGTACCAAATTCAGTCACTGTACTTGGTGTCCCAAAGTTTTCCGTACAAGAAGCATAACTCCAGCTCTGCTTATTCATAACTCCACCGCTGAAGAACATGTATCAGCACAGCTGGAGTTATGCTTGTAATGACTTTAGGGGTATGTTTATTGTCACTATGTATAGCAACTTACCGGACACCCGGTAGACAGGTTAAATTAAGTATAGTAGGTGGTTCAGAATCTATTCACTGAAAATTTTAGAAAAACATTTCTTGTATACAATTATACAAGTAAAAATCAATTACAGACAATAATTAACATCTAAATAGTCCCATTTGCAAGTTGCATATCTTTTATGTTTTTTCAGAAAGTTGTTGAAACATAACATTTCTCTGAATCATAACCCAGGAAGTAACAGGATAATGTCTGATATAATAACGATGTAAAAACTGTAAACGACTGAAATAAATGATTAAAAAATATCTGAACCAACAGAAGCATGCAGTGAAATGTCCATGGACACTATACATTCTTATTATAATGCTGAGGGTTGAACATATTTATGTGGAAACTACTACATCTACTACTCAAGTGAAACTCATTCTCTGAAACATGTTTCCATTGTATTGTTGCACTATGATTAAATACATATTCAGCATGCATGAATACTTACCCCTTCAATACCAGTTCTAAGCAATATACAAACTAGCATTTGTAAGTATTTTTAACGAGACTGTCATCAGCTGACATGACATAGTGTATGTGAAAAACAGAAAATGCCATTCGAGCTCAAAAGTATATGATAAAGTAATATTAGTAATCTTGACTCCTAGATTGATAAAGTTAACAATGAAGGATATATTGTATTTTGTATGCAGGTAGCATGTATTGTGGTTGTGCTATGTGGGAGTGAGATGACTGATATATTTTGCAGCCTTATGCATGCTGTTCTGTTCTTCCTATACAGGAAGCCAGAATCTTGAGAGCGGGAAACAACAAACTGTCTAGAGAGCAGATTCTATAAAAGCTGTCCCCAGAAACAGGAAGTGTCACCCATTTTTTTATGAGGAGGAATCGACACATATGGTTAACTCAATGGCCATGGCCATGCATCTTATGACTGAAACATTCTGAGAATAAATGAATAGAGAATCACCAAACAGACAATGAAATAGGAAACAGAGGGAATGAGGAAATGAAGACATCCAAGAGAAACCCAAGAGAATGTCCTTTCTTATTTCTGTCTATTCTACTTTAATTAGCTGTCTACCTTAAATCAGTAAGTCATCTTCACCTGTCACTAAAACAGCAAAGCCAATCATGTGTTAGTAGTTGAAATATCACAAACCTTTTCTGGCTTCAACTGGCAAATATTCACCTCATTATCTGTGCCGGTTATCAATACGTCAACCTGGCTGCCAGAATGTGATGATAACATTTCTTGTCACATGCTTCCTTTGTGGCAAAGTTGTTTAAATTACCCTGACATCCACCATATGTAAAGTTCTGGCAAGACCTAGTTTGAGCGTCAAAGAAAAATTGGGAAAATGCTGCACAGCATGGACCAGTTTCTCTTGACTGGAGACATAATTCTGAAAATAAAAAGTAAATTAGTGTTTTATATATTTGAGCTTTGTATGACTTAACTACAAATTATATATAAACATAGTCCTTCACCCATTAGGGTCGCGGAGATGTATCAGTGGAAGCACTAACATACAAAACCTGCCATCTTTCTCGGTCTTCAGCTTGTTGAATAAGTGTGTGATAACTTAGTCCTGTCCATTTCTTGAGGTTGTCATTCTAGGTTCTTCTTTACCCTCCTCTTCTTAGACTACCCCCAAGTGTTCCTTAAAGTATAGTCTTTGCAATCAAATCATGTCTCACCACATGCCAAAACCAAGCTAGCTTGAGATGTTTAACAATTGCCAAGAGAGGCTCTTGGTGTCCTGTTAATTTGTTTATTTTGTCTCTGACATTAAAGTTCTCAATAACTCATCCACTCTAATACACTGTACCTGCAGGATCTTTTAGCTGTATTCTCAGATGCCACTGGAAAAGAAAGAAAATACCTTTATGAATTAGTCTTACTTTATAGATTTCTCTACTTCATCTTCTGTGTTTGTCCATAAAAAGACAGTTGACATACTGTGCTGTAGTTTACAGCTAGGCTATGATATCAGGACTCTCAGCCCAACATCCAATTTCAGTAAAATCCTTGATTAGTCACCTGTTAGATATTCTTGTCAAGGATCAGCAAGTCTATTCTCTCCCATTCCCACCCCCCCCCCCCCCCCACCTTCCAAAAAAGGGGCCACAAACCCACACATAGCTAACACTGTGAGTAATGGTAGTACAGTGGCCAGCAGGCTTATGTTAGGGGTTGCGGAGGTGTATTAATGAAAGCAAATGATGAACATGAACAAGCTTGTATGAGAGCCAACAATAAGTTTGTCATGTTTTGAAGATATCACTCATAATTAGTCTAAAACAAAGAGTTTCACATTAGTATTCCCAACCATGACATAAAATATACTAATGAAAAGACCTCTTAGATTACTATTTATTTGAACAAGTTGACTTACAGAGTGAGCACAAAAAAATATACACAGTAATCGAGTTGAGAATAATCGAGTTGAGTAAAGAATTGACATCACAGCACTCGGGGCATACCCATGTGTGCTCCGTCTCATATTCAGCAGCCAGCGCAGAGTTCCAATTCTGGTGGTACAAGTCACAATCTGGTTATGTGTTCCGTCTTGCCTTTCCTCTTTGTGTAGTGAGCCGGCCATACCATCTGATTACACCCAGGTGCATGGGGGCTAAGCTGGGATCAGCAGTGAAATGTATCTACATGTAGGATATTTGCATTCTTTGAATTCATAGCGGTTGCAGTGTGTTGCATAGGACTTTGATAAGGCAAAACCTGAATAGCTATTTTGATACTCAATTTATTTAGATGCAAAGAGATGCATACGAGTTGCATGTGATGTTGAAGTTACTATTAGTGCTCAAAGTGATTCCCATTAACCTCCTGAGACTTTTTGCAACCAGAATACAACACATAGCTACCTTAATGTGACCTAAATATGGTAGAATATATGGTGTAATTATCATGTTTTTAAATAAGTAGCCTCTACAAAAATGTGAACTCATTTCATTGCGGGGCAATTACTGTGTAAACATTTTTATGGCTAACTCTGTATGCAGTTTCTGCTTCCCTTTACCTGTTGGCAATGTTGAAGTTTATTGTTTATGTATGGCAGTAGTGGTGCTGGAGTGTGATGTTTCAATTCCTTGCATAAATTCCTTTTGGCAGTCTTCAATGTCCACAAAATGTTTATCATTTCCTTGGCATCCTCTGTGGTAACACTTGTGACATGTTCTGTCTCTTGAGGACAAGTGTCAGCTGGTAGGTCACAAATTTTGACAAAATCTGTAAACAAATTTTGACAGATTACAAAAGACAATAAGCTTGTTTTATACAATTAGTGAAATTAAAATTAAGAAAATGAATACATTTCTAAAGTTACCATAAACCAAAGAAGATAATTTTGACTTTTTGTTGTCCCCTCTGAACTGCTACCTAAAGGTTTTACCAGCCCTGAAACTCAAAGAATCACAACCTGGATGACATTCCGACTAGTGGCTGTACCGAATATTCGCTTTGTATTCACTTCGGGGCTGAATAGTGGACCTAATAACTATTCCGTATTCAGCCGAATAGTTGCGGTCGGGCAAAATACGAATAGTGGTTATCTAACACCAGTTGCTGGACTAGTAGAAATTAAACATTTCAAGATTTCCCACCTTGGTTCATATTGTCCAGCGTTATCTCTGTGCACCACCGATGAGCGTACCAAGTGAACGTCTGTTTAGTATAGCTGGAAATACTTTTAGTGAGACAAGAAGCTACCCTAATGCTGACAACATGGAACGATTTTGTGTTTGTGGGAAGCTAATACCGCTTTCATGGATTAATTAAGCTGTCAGTGACAATTTACAAGTTTAGTTACTTGTTCTGAAACTAAGAATACTTTCAAAGACTGATTGACTGAAGAATGCAAAACATGAAATGTATTTAAATGTTTACTATTCTGTACTACATTTTGTCAAGTAAAATGTCAGCACACATTTGACATTATGGAAGTTTTCTTTTAGATCTTTTTTATAAACGAAAGTGGAAGAATGGGCCTCAGTTTGAATAGTGGGAAGACAGAAGTAATGGTGGTATCAAAGAAAATAATTACTCCTAAATGTGTAATAAAAGTCAATGGTTTCATTTTAGGACAAGTACGGCAAATTAAGTATCTGGGCACATGGACAACATCAGATAGAAGATGCGTTACTGAAATAAGAAACAGAATAGGACAGGCAAAAACTGCATTTTATAAAATGAAGAACATCTGATGCAATATATCTTTGTCGTGGAAGGTTAGAAAAAAAATTCTTGCCTGCTACACACATCCAGTGTTAACATATGTCCTGGACAATCAGTCTTCTTCTTCTGCCTTTTTATCCCCCAACGGAGCATAGGCCCTCAACCAACTCACGCCAAGTCTTTCTATCCTTCGCCATTACATGGAGCTCTCCCCATGTCCTCCCAATCTTTCTAACCTCAATCTCCAGCTCTCTTCTCCATGTGTTTTTTGGCCTTCCTTTATTCCTATGCCCCTGTGGGTTCCAATGCAAAGACATTCTAGTTATGCTGTTCTCCTGTTTTCTCAGTGTGTGCCCTATCCAACGCCAGCGTCTTTTCCTCACCTCCTGATCCACTGGAGCCTGTTTAGTTCTCTCCTAAAGTTCTACATTAGTTATTCTATCATACCATTTTATTCCCTCTATTCTGCGCAGGCACCAGTTAATGAATGTCTGTAATTTATTAGGAACTGCCTTCGTTGTTCTCCATGTTTCCGCCCCATACAATAGTACTGATTTGACATTAGAATTAAAAATTTTTAGTTTAGTATTTCTTTTAATTTCTTTTGACCTCCACAAATTCCCTAGTGCTATGAAAGCCCCTCTTGCCTTTTGTATTCTTATTTTAATATCTCTATCAGTTCCTCCATCTTTATCTACATTACTGCCCAAATAGGTGTACGACTCCACGTCTTGGAGTGGGGTGCCATTAAGAGAAACCACATTACTATTTGCCTGATTTATTCTCATTATCTTTGTCTTTCCTTTATGGATTTTCAGACCAAGCTGCTGTGATCTCGCATTAAGTATATTTAATTTATCTTGTATCTGATTCCGTGAATGGGACAGAAGGGCAATATCATCAGCGAAGTCCAGATCATCAAGCTGTTTTGTAGGGGTCCACTGAATTCCATTCTTGGTGTTAGCAGTTACTGTTTTCATAGTCCAGTCTATAGCCAGTAAAAATAGGAGAGGCGACAAAAGACATCCCTGTCGCACACCTGTTTTTATTTCAAATGCATCTGTGAGCTTTCCCTCATGAAGAACTCGACATTTCATGTCTTTATATGTTGCCTTTACTAAGTTGATAATTTTCTGTGGGATTCCATAGTGCCCCTCTAATTTCCAGAGAGATTCCCTATCAATGCTGTCAAATACTTTTTCATAGTCTATAAATCCAATGTAAAGTGGTGAGTTCAGTTCAATGCTTTGCTCTATTATAATACGTAATGTGGCTATCTGATCAGTACAGGATCTGTTTGACCGAAAACCTGCCTGCTCATCTCTTAGCATTTTATCAATAGCATCTTTTAATCTTTCCAAAATAATTCTACTTAATATTTTTCCAGGAACTGACAGCAACATAATTCCTCTATAGTTTTCACACTCCTGTAGATCACCTTTTTTGGGCAGTTTCACAAGATATCCTTCTCTCCAGTCTGCTGGTATTTCTTCGGTCTCCCAGACTTTACTGAATAATCTATGGAGCAATTCTGTTGATGTGTTTATGTTGGTCCTGATGGCTTCAGCTGGGATACCATCTGGGCCTGACGCCTTTCCTTCTTTAAGAAGATTTATAGCTTTTCTAATTTCCTCTTTGGATGGTATCTCACAGTTGATATCCAGTTCCATTTCTAAAGGCTGGATATCTGGGGGAACCTCTGGGCCTGGTCTATTTAGAAGCATTTCAAAATATTCAACCCATCTGTCCATTTGATCTTTAGTGTTAGTAAGTACCTTTCCTTGACTATTTTTGATTGATCCAGTTGGCTGACTATATTTACCTACTAATTTTCTTGTGTTACTGTAAAGTTCTCTGAGGTTTCCTTTTGCTGCTGCTGTCTCCGCTTCTTGTGCTAGATCATTTAGATATTTCACTTTATCTGCCCTTATATGCCTCTTAACTTCCTTGTTGGCTTCTGTGTAATTTTCCTGAGCTCTAGCTTTAGCAGCTCTAGTTTTGCTATTGTTTAATTCTGCCTTTTTACTTTTCCTATCTTCAATCAGTTTAATGGATTCTGGTGTTATCCATGCTTTATGTTTCCTTTCTTTCTTGCCAAGAACTTCTACGCAAGATTCAGTCCAGATTCCTTTGATCTGATCCCAGCAGACTTCTGTGTTGACATCTTCAGCTAACTGCTGCAACACCTGGTACTTATTAGAGACCGTAACT